TATTATTATTATTATATTTGTAGGTGGGAAGCTGGAAGAAGGGAAATTACCAATGCAGTTAAACAGAAGTGAAGGGCGGAAGAGCACATGGAGTGTAATCTGACAAGTAGTTTTTAACTACTTCCGGACAAAATATTTTACCATTTAACCTGCATGTAAATTTTATTTACGGAAGATAAAGTTTATAATATTTTTGGAAGTTTTAAAAAAAGGAATCGAGACGTCATGAACTGCTGATATAACCTTACTTTTTTGTCTGGAAAGAAATAAAAGCAGCCAAAAAAATAATACACAGAAACCCCCCATTGGCAGTAACTACGTATTTACAATATTCATTTCGAAGTAAATTAGCATTCCAGCGGAATTGAAACCTCCATGTTCAGTCATTGTCAGAGTCCCCCCACCGTCCCTCCCTTCTTTTACCACCAACTATCTGGCCCCTCAGCCACTGAGCGGCTGAGCCCCTCTCTGGAAAACAAAAATAATAATAAATTTTAGTGAGGGGGAGAGAAAAGAAAAAAGAGAGATAAAATTGGAAAAGAAAAGGAAAGGAAGGCCCAGCCCGGCCCAATTGGAGGGTGTTCCCTAGACTGAGACACCACTTATAAAGCCTCCACGTGTGCCCATTTTCTGACAGTCCCACATATTTTGGCAGGCGCCGGTCAGCCCCCCATTCGTAGGGCTTACGTCATCCTCCTCACGTCTAATCAGGCGGCGGCTCTCTCTTCCCTTCCCTGATCCAGGCCCCACCCTCCTCCTCCTTTTCCTATTTATAATATTAAATTAAACCCTTTATTATTATTTATTTATTTAATCAAAATCTGATTCTTAATCTCTCATCCGACGGCCGCTATATGAGGTATTTATTTTGTTAATAATAACAAAAAAAAAAAGGGTTGAAATATGTGTGTGTATTTATGCCGTGTACCCGAGGATTACGGGTGACTTGGTGGGTCCCTTCCCTTCCCTTCCCTTCCCTTCCTTTCCCTTCTTCTTCCACTTCAAAATTGTGTTAAAGCACATTTCACTTCCTTTACTCACCCAAATCTCCTTTTTTCCTTCTGTTCTTTTTGTTTTTGTTTTTCTATTTTTTTTTTTTTTGATATTTCGTTGGTGATTCCCCCATGGCTTCCACTCGCGAGGCTCACTACAGGGGCGTCAGAAAGAGGCCATGGGGTCGCTACGCCGCTGAGATTCGCGACCCTTGGAAGAAGACCCGTGTCTGGTTGGGCACTTTCGATACCCCTGAAGAAGCCGCCCTTGCTTATGACGGCGCCGCCAGGTCCCTCCGCGGCTCCAAGGCCAAGACCAACTTCCCTCCCCCTCTCTCCCTCGACCTCAACGTCTCCTCCACTCCTACAACCTGCAACTGGCCCTCCTCCTCCGCCGCCCCTTCCTCCTCCTCCTCCTCCTCCTCCGCTCGTCTTCTCCTCGGCGATTTCCTCCGCCACGGCGCTCGAAATGACTTGTGTAATGTCAATGTGGAGGCCTCTCCGGGGCTGGTGGACTCGAGAGATCCAGCGCCCAACACTACGGCGTCGTTTATGGGGCACGTGCGTCGTGGCCTCCCCTTTGATCTGAACGAGCCTCCACCGGTGTGGCTATGATTCATTCAACAACCCCACCACACGGCTTTTACCGGCGTTTTTAACGGACATCTCTCTCATTTCTCTCACTTTTTGTCGTTTTTTTTTAATATTCTGACAGTATTCTGTATCCACTTTTTCACCCCTAGATTTAAAAAAAAAAAAAAAAAAAAAAAAAAACCCATTAAAAGAATATGTAAATACAAGTTTTTGGTGGATATTGATTGAAAAAGCTTGCACCTTTTTTTATTTTAATAATATTTTCATGAAGCGGCGTAATGATGCCGGCGGCCGTCCGCCGAAAATATTGCTTCCATCCGACGTTATTGGTTCGAACGCATATTAATATAAATATAATAATAATAATAACAATAACAATCGTCACGCGCCAAAAGCATGAGTTTTTCTTTTTTATTATTATTATTTTTTTTATTAATTTGAATTGGTGTATGCAACGACGTCGTAATGAGGGAAGGAAGCCCAAGCGTGTGCACTTTATAATAATTGCATTCCTTTCTTGGTTTCCCTTCGCTTGGTACGTCTGCTTTTGTGGTTTCGGCAATTTCAGCACCCTATTTATTCATCCTTTTTTATTTACCCTCTCCCCTCTCCTTTTCCACGCGCCTTCCCCGCGCGTCTACTCCAATCCCCCTTTCTTATTTTTATCCTCCGCCGTCCGCCGTCCGCCGTCCGCCGTTCACGATTTTCTTTACTTATTCTTCTTCCCTTTAAAATATTTAATTTAATATCCATTTACTGTTTTATCCTTTTCCCTACCAACCTTTCTTTTCTTTTTTCATAATTAAGTAGAGATAATAATTGAACTACAAACATATCTTTTCTGTTATGATATGTGTAGCTTCAACTTTATATTTCTTTCTTTTTTTTTGAAATAGCAAATTTTCAAAATAATTAAAATAATAATAATAATAATAATAATAATAAATGGAATATTTTGGTGTATTTGAAAGAGTCAAAATTTGGTTGTACTATAAAGTGAGAGTTGTGTGTATGATTGTATGAAAGTGGGAATTGGGGAACATTCCTTTGTTGGCTAACCTTCCCTTTTCACTTTCTTTTAACTTTTGTCAATATTTGCTCACTTCAATTTCACTTTTTTTTTTTTCCCTTCTTTTTACACCATTCATTTCAAGGGTAAAAATGTCATTTTTAGTTCCGCTATTCTAAGTTTCACTACCGATAATTTTAATTATTGAAACTTAAAAAGATCTTTAAAATGTCGATAGAAGCTATCTTCCCAAATTGGATAAATAATTTTTGATAAATCTTTAAATTTAGCCATTCAAATTTTAAAAAAATTATATCGAACATGGTTGGAAGTCGAAAACATACAACATCCCAACTACATATAATTTGACATTAAAAAAGAAGGCGGCAACCCTAAAAAATCAAACACCCATTACAAAAACGAGGGTAAATAAATAATTATATGTGTTTATATTTTGGTGTACAAAAAGTCAACAAGAATTGCAATGGGCTGGTGGGTTACGTTGCCCGCCTGGTTTACTTCAATTTCTTAAATATTAATCACGTGCTCTTAATTAATTTTAGTAATTGTAGAAAATTCAACCCAAGAAAAAAAAAAAAACAAAGATTTTGAGACAAAATCTTGGTTGATTATTAACCTATTTTGGCCTAAATAAAACAAATTACAGCGCCAAACCAACCAACCAACCAAACCCCGTTTTCCATTACAAATTTGTTCGAGATTTTGTCTGTTTGGAATTTGGATTTTAGTTTTTTTTTTTTTTTTTTTAAAAAACATTGTTCACCTTAATTAAATTAATGAAGCTTCCATAAAAACCTGGGTGGTGAGGTGGGGCGAAGTTGAAAAAAGAGAATAGTTGAGGGGGGCGTGTGGAAATATGAAGAAATTAAGGGAGTGAGAAGCAGTCGCAGAAACAGAGAAAGTGCGGTGCAGAGTCGACGCAAAATAAATAAATAACTAAATATATAATAAATAAATGGCGTCATCATAAAAACTGCCACACCCACACCACCTGCACTTTGCCACAGCCGTCATTTCAAACCGCCACGTCCTCCCTCATTCCATACCCTTCTTTTTTTATTTTCTTTATTATATTCCAACATGCTTTTACACATCTCACCCATCCCCCCAACCCTTTTTTTTTTTTTTTTTTTTTTTTTAAATAAAGAGTAAATAATAATAATAATATATAAATAAATAAAGGAATTAATGAGGGTGTCGGTAGCTGAGACATCACGGCGGCTTAACGTCGCGCCAACAACTAAACAAGCCGCTCTGAAGTCTTTTTTTTTTTGGACCCTTCCTTAGGCCTTATCCACTCTTTTTCTGTTTATTACATTGTCTTATATTTACCCTTTAAAACACGTTTGCTTTGAATTTTGCTTCAAATATATTAAATAAATACCAACTCCTACTTTGATTTCTCAATTCAAAACGTGGCAGATTTTATTTTTCTAAACTCTCAGCTTTTTATTTTGAATAACTTCATCACACTTAGATATTATGCTCGTTTTTAATGCACTAAACTAAACAAATTGATTCTTATGTTTATGGTTAAAATTTCACAATAGTATAATATAAATTCTCGTGACTTTGATAGATTATTTACTTATAAATCAAGATCAACCTTTTAATTAGTTCATGTGGAGCTACTCTCCCAACAATTCTCAACATGATTCCCACATACACGAGAAGACTTTAGTCAGGAAGCAGAGCCTAAAATCATTTAAAACTTGCTTGCTCTATCAAGCGAAAGGGAGAGGACGGACAGACGCTAAGCAACAACATTGAAGATTTCATTCCGCCCTACCAGATAACGTTTTAAATGAGGAGCCGGCTGCAGTCCCACTCGTCGAATACGGCGGGGTTTGCCGAGCAGCCAAGCAAACAAGAGGCGGCCCCTTTGCCCTCTGTCCTTACGTATTACTCAATACTACTGCGGCTCTGCAGGTAAATTTGAGGTACTCACAGCCTCAACCATTCATCCAGTGGCCCATCTCTGTCCCGCCAATAAGCTAATCATCGGCCTCTACAGCAAAACAACTTATGGCAGGGGGGCCCCTTTCCCTTTCCAATGGCTACTTTTGGCTTCCCACTGATCTTCTAACCATACAATCAATAAGATACTATGATAAAAGCGCAAATACTTCCTTTTTTCTCCTTTTCTTGTTATGTTATCAACTTTACAGAAGGCACAGCATAAAAAAAGTTCAACTAAATTTGCACCAACAAGTTTAGAACGATTGAGAACACCTTTTTAATAAACTAGAAACAAAATTACCTTTAATGGATCCATGGGCAATCACTTTTACGAAGATCAGAACCATCCATTTTCTTAGCGCCATCCCTTCCGTTCATTCGAATAGAGATAAGACAAAGGCTCTTACCGAGCATTCAAGACACTATTCGATAAAAAGCTTATGATATTATAGATTATGGTCATGCAGTTTAATAGTAGTTTACAGACTCTAGAATTATTTCTACATACAACACTTTGACATGTACGCTAGAGTTTCCTTATTCTGAGAGAATTTGGCAGAAACTCACTAAGGATTTTCCATATCGCTTGAACCAGGATGAGCATCTCCATTTAAGTCTTCCATCATCTCCTCAACTATTCTCCATCTGTTAGAAGCATAAATAAACTCAAGAACCAATAATGTATTTACAGTAAACTTCATGTTATTTGGAAAGATGAGGAAAATGTCTGAGTACCTCTCAAGAACAAACTTCCCCTCCTTGTACTTTTGGTATTTGTCATGTGTAGTTACCTATTGAAATGCAGCAATATCAATTTAGCAAACTAATACTTCAACCAACAACTCAACTGAAAATCCCTTCATAAAAACACAAACCCACAAATGTTTTCAGATGCAAACCATAAATTACACCATTTTCAACTCTAATTTAATGTTATTTCAGGATTTCAGGCAGATGAAAGGTATTATCACATACGTATACATGCATATGTTGGAANTTTTTACACATCCTTTTTGGTAACCATGATTTTTTTTTTTTTTTTTTTTTTTTTTTTGTGAACTCAGTACAATTGCTGCTGGGCAAACATGATTGTTGCACCTTACCTTCCGTACGGCATTTACATCTAATTGTGATGATTATATTATGCATATTATTGTTTTCTATGTCCTCGCTAGAAAGGAATATTACATGTACACTATGCATGAATTAAGTAATTTGTCTATTAAGTCCTTCAATATTCAGAATCAGAGGAAGTAAAAGAGAAGTGAAGAAGGCACCCCCTTTTAGCTTGTCTTAGGCTACAAATTATAGAGAGAAAAAACTTCACCTTAATCAATAGCTGAAATTTTCAAAAACTCAATATTATTGTTATCATTATCATTACCCATTTTCCATTGAGCAGGTTTCATATAAAAGGATTATAAAAATTAATAATCCAGAACATAGCAGAAAGACAAGACAACGAAAATCAAAACCAAAGAAAAATGAATAGAAATGAAAGAAAGCAATACAAAAAAAGAGCTGAAACTGTGATGAATTCTGGTCTATGAGAGAAATCCAGTCTTTGACGTGATAGAGAGAGTTAGAGAGCAAAGAACCCCTCACCCCATCCTTCCTCTCCCAAAATTTAGATTTTCAAACTCCAGTATTCAAGCACATACCATAGCACCTTTTCTTTTCCCAAAATTTCAGACAAAATAGGATTTTATTATGTATTGTAATAGCAAAGAAGTGGCTATTACATCAATAAGAGTTGGGAGATTCAAACCCATGACCTCTTGAAGATGTTTTAAGTACTAAGCTATGCTCGTGTTGGGTGCTTCCAAGAGTTCTTTTTCCCTCTTGTTTTCGATTTATTCTAATTGGTCATTTTTCTTAAGGATAAATTGAACTCATAATATTCCAATATATTTTATCGAAGTTTCCTAATTTGAAATAGAATAGCATGTAATCATATCAACGAACCCATGTCCATTCTTTATAGATCATTTCTAGTATAGTACATTTGATACTGGAGGGCATCAGACCAACTTCTTCTCACCTGAACTAGTTACAGTGAATTATGTTCACCAATTAATTTTGGAAGTTGAAATATGCATGAGATAGATAGTTGATAACAGTCAACGGAACGACAAACTTAAATGTATAAATTATAAGTTGCTCCTTTAACTGTTGAGCCAAGTCGTGACGATTCCTACTTCTGAACAGTCATCAGTTCTATTAAAGATGATGGAAATTAGACTACTTTGCATAGATAGCAAGAGGAGAAAACTTACATATTTCCATCCAAGAATTTGTCCGCAACAGCAACAAAAGATATCTTCCACAGTGTGCATACCAGAAAGCATCAGCCTCTCCTCCTTGGGACCAGATGTTATATTCACTCTGCCAAACGGTTAAGAGTCCATGTCGATCAGAAATGCGCAGGAAAAAGGAAGAAGGATAAGAACTGTGAGGCAATATACTGTAATTTTTGAATCGTGAGAACTGCCTAAGAAATATTAGTAAAAACCCGAACCATCACAAGCTATTTCTATATATAATTGTTCTCAAATAAGGAAAACAGAATTTAAAGGGAAGTCAATCAATTCTCCTCCTCTTACAGAAGTCCTCATCCAATGGTTCCTCAAAAAAATCTAGACATTTGGATTTGAAGCTGCACATAAAAATAAAATCAGGGCCACTTACACATTGCTGAAAAGATATGCCCTCCCTTGGCTGCAATTGAAAGTCTGGGACAATAAGAGAACAATAAAAATTCATCAAAATGGGCAAGTCGAAAATGCAATGGAAAAGATTCAAAAGGAAATCGATCGTAATATTGTTGGAATTTCACTTCCAACATAGCATTTAAGACTCAGTAGCGTCATATTACATAGCGACAAGGGACAAATTAACCACACCCAGAATATGCTTGATATTTCAATTAAGAATGCTTGGCTCAAAAAACAAAACAAAAATCAGGAAAGAACGATTGAACAAAGAACGCATAACGCTAATACAAGGAAAAACAGTCCATCTTGACGCAAACCTATAATTCGAGGACTAAAACTCCCGTTTTCGGTTCAGATTGTTGAGAAATTGAATTCCAGAATTTCAACGAACAAAATTGTAGCATGTATGGGCGAAATTAGTCGATGGAAACGAAGAAAGGAGTTGAGAGAATTCGCAGAGAAAAATAAAACGGAAGAGGTAAAGAGTGAGAGTACCCGAGAAAGGACGTCATCGGCAAGAGCAACATTGTTATTACAGAAGCGGCATCTGTAAGACCTGCCTTCCAATTCAACAAGAAAAACCCTACCCATTAAAACCCTAGAAGAATCCCAAATTGAAGACCTAAGCTCTCACCAGACTCATACGCAAATATTCATCCCCCTCTCCTCCAGACAAAATCAAAATAACGAACTTGAAACTTTGTCATGCCTGGTCGGTTTGCGAGATGCCAGTAGCCGTTTCCTTCCAGCTACGGGAACCGGTAATTACCGGTTCTTCCTTTCTTCCCCTTACCAGTTCTAGTTTTGGGCTTCAGCCCACTCAATAATGGCCCCAAACTCTTTTTTTTTTTTTTTTTTTTAATTTTTTTAAAATCTGAATTTAATTGTATTAATTATTAAATATGAGTTTAGTCCCTACATTTCCTTCATTCAGCCTGAGAAATGATTTTAATTTTTTTTTACTCTAAAATTAAAATTGAAATAAATGTATGAAAAAATAATTAATTAGGTTATTAATAATGGATTTGTTAATTGAATACTGAAATATGATGACATTAAATAATAAATATTAAAATAGTATACACAGACAGTAAAATGGTTTGGAATTGGTTTTATCCATAATAACTCCACAAACTTAAATAATAGTAAATAAATAAAAACCACAAATAAATTGCTACTTCCTTAATATAAAACTCTGTTTTGTCGTCTTCCTCTGTCCTCATTACGTGTCCAGTGGACCCCTCCTCTCCCCTTCCCTCTCCACCCTCCGCCTCCAAATATCGTCCCGTCCGGCGATCTGGGCTGCCTGAGCTGACTTTCACATGGACGGAGAACCCAATTAATCATGTTCTTCTTTTCTTCTTTCAGNTTCCTCGGTCGCCGGAAGTTGTTTTGTTTTTTTTTTTTTTTTTTTTTTTTTTTTTTTTTTTTTTTAATTAAACAAAAAGGAGTTAGATAGTCCTGATAGCTAGTACACGTGTATTAATTGACATGGAGCTTCAAAAATGTTGCCATAATCCATCGATGTCGAAAAATTGAAGCCTACGCGGACTCCGGTGGAGGGAAATTGAGATCTAGATCTAGAGTGGGTCTTGATTTGTGGTCATTTTGATTCAGATTACTAACGGAGGATGAATCTGAGTCACTTTGAACTCCGCCGTTGGGGACTGTTTTTTGGTGGCGGCGATCGAAACTCGCGGCGGATTGATGATTATGAAGAATCTCAACCATTCCGTGGCGGAAAATGGGATGATCGAAGAGGAAAAGGTGATTGGGCGGCGGGAAAATTCCGAAGGGGAAGGGCGGCGTGGATCCGGCGGCGATAGCGTCAGGTTCGTGATTGAGGTCAAGAGTGGGGTCTGGGTTGGGGGATTCAACGGTGCTACTTCTGTTGACGATAACGGGAACGGGAAAGGGAAAAGGAAAGTTAGTCTTAGCCTTGGCGCCGCGGAATTTGCGGGCGGCGGCATCGTAAGCCATCGCCGCCTCTTCCTCTGTTTCAAATGTGCCTAGCCACACACGGATCTTCTTCGCCGGATCTCTAATCTCCGCCGCGTATTTTCCCCATGGCCTCTTCCTCACTCCTCTAAAATGCACCTCTTTGTCCTTGCAGCCGGCTGCCACCGCCGCCTTAACCCCGTCTCTCGGCGCCATAGTTGATTGAAGAAAATGGTGATCCGATTGGTTCTAAGTTGATAGAGGAAATGGAAGTGGAAAGGAAGGGACTTGGGATTTATAGAAGAACATTTTGGAATTTTGGAATTTTGGAATTTGATTCAATCAGAAATGGCAAAAGTCAAAAGCAAGGAATTTGACTTCCCGGTCCCATCCCCACCATTTATTGTAGCATCATCCAATGGCTAGTATTCAACCATCATTTTTTTCTCTCTAACTCTAATTTAATTTTTTTTTAAATATATAAATATAAAATTTAAAATTTAAATCTAATATAACCATTAACTTTTTTCGAAATATCCAATAAATACAAATTTACATAGTAAATTTGTAATTTGGTTATTATTATTATTATTATTTGTTTAAGAAAAGAAAGTAAGTTCGATTTTATTTTTGAGGTCTCCGATTTGGTGGGCCCCAAAAAGATCGCACCGGTCAAACACTGACGCGTGTCCTTGTTTCTGCACATCCTGGTAACCTCACACCACAGCACCAATTTTTATTTATTTTGTAAATGGAAACGGAAGCAGCCAAACAGCGCCGCCCCATAAAAGGATGACACTTCCAGTTTTCCCACACGCACCAACTTTTAAGATTCGCCCTCTCCACATTACGGGCCCACGTCTTCTCTCCAGACACTTGACTTTTGTTTACGCGCCAACCATCATCTTACACGCGCCTCTTGTCTTCATTTTTTCTGTCCTTTTAATTTTTGTTAATTTTAGTTCATATCACTATTTTCATCCATATTTTTTAAGTTTTTAACTTCAATTTATTCTCAATCAAAACCCTTTAAACATAATTATTTGTTGGTATAGTTTAAGATAACTTTTTTCTTTTAATTTAACATACAATCGATCCCTTGCTTCTACCCTTCTTGATGCACTCAGCTCAAGACTTACACTCGGACTTCAGCCATTATAGTTCATGTATAACCTAATGATTAAGTAAGGATTGAGAATAGGCGGCTCAGATATGATCTGATAAATTTTAAAATTTTTACTTTGCGTCGATAAATCTCAAAACTATTATTATTTTATTATTGTTTTTGTAAAGATGGAGTGTTTTGATTAGAGAGATTGGAGAAATGAGAAAAGAAATAATTGGGTGCACCCACTTACACGAGAGAAAATGGTCAAACACGTGAAAGAGGGAGTTGACGTGTGTGGCACAAAAGTCGACATCAAAACAAACCGAGTAATAGATAATGCTTACGAGGAACCATCCCTAAACCAATTAATGCCACGTGTAAAACTTTGAATCTTTGATTTGTTTGGAATTTATCGAATACATTATTGATTCAATTTGTTATAGTTTTGATATTTTGGTTTGGTTGATTGCATACGGTCCAGGGGGGGAAAAAACCCTTAACGATGGTTAAGATGGTGATATTGGTCCTTAATTAACCATATCTCAGTCGCATAATGTTATTTCGTTAACCATATCTCAGTCGCATAATGTTATTTCGATGTCCTTCATGTCGATAACACCACTCATGAATGGCATTACGAGGCAATGGCTTTCTAAGCCATGCCGCGAGCCTGTACCTAAGATATAAGTATGCTAGTCCTGCTCTTATGTTTTGCCTCTCCATGGCCAAGGGCATAATTCGAACAAGCATATCCAGTAAATGGGTTCGAATCCACGAGCCAGAGGCTTGGTTTGAACCATTGACGATCTAAGCTATGAACCATTGACGAGCCAGAGGAGAAAGTCATTAAAATGATAAAGGTTTTGTTCCTGAGGCTCAGGTTTCCAATGGTAGAATCGGCAGTGGTGATTCTCCGGTGGGAATAGGAAGAATTTGAACAATTTTTTGGAGTGCGACAGTTTTCTATGATATTTGATCGCCCACCTGTTTACAAAACCAACAAAGGGTTGGATTTCTTTCCTCCTTTTATAAATCGTATAGATCCTGTGTAATTGATGGTCGCCAGTTCTATGATTCAGCATTCTCAGTTTGATGTAAAATTTTAGAAAGTGTCATGTAATAAATATCTCAACCTTTCACACAAGATATCAATAGGTCACTAAAATGCTAATAATAGTTGCTACTATATTTCATATCTTATATTGGAAAATTTATCTCCTGGCTAAGCTAAACAATGAGAAGTATTCCCTCTTTTCTCAAGAATGACCCTTTACCTGGAAAATCGTGAAGAGAGGAACATCCAAGCACCAAAAATTGGGAAGGTAACCAGAGCAGACGCCTAAAAATTCATAAAACATGATTAAATTCGAGAAGTAGGCGAAAAAAGACAGGTAGGGGTAGGAAAAGTTCTAGATGAAGCATCAAGATTTTTGTTGGCTTACCAGAAAGAAAATAAATTCCCTGTTGGCAAGATATGCTGCATATTCATTTCTTTCCATTTCTTGTTTAATCAGTCTTTGTAACTGCAGATATCAATATTCAAACTTTATAGTCATTATCAAGGAGGGATATAGCTCAGATTGGCAATGCTTATTCCACTGCAATATCTATATTCTGGAATGAAATGCAAATGTCAAAGATTAAGAGATGGAGGTAGCAGCACATTTCAGAAGAAGCTATATGGTGTGCAATTCGTTTTATTCCCTTAAGTCTTTGCAGAAATTATTAGATCGACTTTAAGGTTTATGTAGACAAACACACACACACACACACACACCTCATGGTGATACTTTTTGGCTTCCTCATAGACTCTTTGGAAGTGATGGATGGCTCCTGTAACCATGGAACTCAAGGTAGACACTTTGGTGAACAGATGATGGTTTGATGTCTGAAGCGCCTTTTGAAGTTGATTGATAAAACGCGTGTTGACCAACTATACAGATGAAGCATCAATAAACTTACAAGTGAAATTATTTGGAAAAAAATGTGAAGTGATTGAAGACATTATGAAAGTTTAGGTAACCATAATGCACGGGGTGGCCAGAGTAATGAAAAGACAATGTTCAACCAAGGTTGTCCAACAATTACCTTCAAGTAGGTGCATCTGGTTAGAGCAACTTGCCGGTGGATCTTCAAAGCTCGTATCTAGTCACAAGCCAACAAAGTTAGTTAATACATCAGCAAAGCAGCTCAACGATAAAATTTTCAATCATTGTGCCCTCTCCAGCAAAACATACTTTTGTCATTTCAAGAGCCTGCTCGAGATGCCGAATTTGAACCCATTGTTCAGATACTATGCTAGACTTCTGGAAAATAAAATGGCCACAAAGTAAGCATACTAACCAAGGAATATGTACATAAAAGAACAATTTATCGATGGATATAAGTTGGTTGAGCAGAAGATATATTAATTACATAGAGAAGTGAACTCATTCTCAATCAGAGTCCAGAATATAAACAAGTGATATCCACCGCATTTCTTCAGTTAAATAGACTGTGGACAATGTTGTGCTAACATGCAAAAAGGGAGGAGAACATGAAAAACTTCAAACAAATGACCAGATGTTCAAGGATTTCTCTTTTTCTTATTGTCTATAATTAATCATGGCATGATAATGATAGTTAGTGTGAGATTCCACGGCTGGGGAGGGGAACAAAGCAAGGGTGTGGAAACCTCTCCCTAGCCGTGATGGGGAAGCCCATGAGGAAAAACCCAAAAACCTTGAGGGAAGCCCGGAAGGGAAATCCCAAAGAGAACAGTATCTGGATGAGTACCAGTTCCACTGTGTAACTCTGAAAGACGCGTTTTAAAAACCGTGAGGCTGACGACGATACGTAATGGGCTAAAGTAGACAATATCTGCTAGTAGTGGGCTTGGACCATTACATTTAGTTAATACCATGGAGTGTATAGATGAAAAAGATAATGTACATTATATCACACGAACATGCAAAATAATTATAAAACATTCGTCTTAGTTTTATAATTTTCCATGGCACATATGTGAGCATGTTGCAGAACATTCAAACACAATGCCGGCTAGAAAAACAAAAAACCTGTTGCAATCTGGTCAGAAATTTATACCTTCTTAACTTGTGAAGTAACCTCTTCCAGTTTTTTCTCAGCTTCCTGTACCTTGGCTTTCAGATTATGAATTTCGAAGTTGTTCTTTCTCGATGAAGCCCAGAGACGTCGTACCTAATATGCCCAAGCCTACTATATAGATTAATTGAACTTTTGAAGATGCTTCAACAAAATTTACCAGATAATTGGCTCCTTGATCAGAAAATCCAAAGAAGCATAAAAACTTAAATACGAAAAAGCAAACGAAAACCTCATCCTCCAGAGCAGCAATCCTTTCATCATCACTTGATGTTGTCCTCTGCATATCAACTAAACTAATATCAGTCTTAATGATGATCTTCGACATTTTCTCAAAGAAATAAGCATTTAGATGATGTCCGACTGATGTTTCTACCTATTGTCGTGCAATTGAGAATTAAACGCTTAAATTGGAAATAGAACTCAATCTATAATCAGACGAACTTTTGCATTGATCTAGTAAATTCGGAGGTGTGAATGGCTAACTGCCCAACTCCAAAATCCGTAAATGAATACATCCAAAACGTTTTTATGTAAGGTAAATAGACGAAGAATATGAAAATGCAATAGACGGAATGAATCTCTGTAAACGCACAAAAAGGTGAAGCAACATTGTCTGGCATTATAAAGCACGAATCAAACCTTCATATCAGATAGAGCAGACTCCAAGTATTGAATCTTATGGGACATAGCCTCGATTAGCTTTTCCTGCGCCTCGAGCTCATTTCTTTTCTCGGTTAAATTTTGCTTGCTTTCCTCCAGAACGGATTCTGCATTCAATTTTATTAAGTACAAAAACAGCGACACCAGAGAGAACTTGTGTAATAAATGCGTCAGCCTGAAGTCTAGATTGACGGAAACTACAATGAGCTAAATCCTGTGAAGAATTAAAACAGTTCAATGTCATGTGAAAGGAAAACAGTAAACGGTATGCACCTAAGTGAGAGATCCTGAGCTTGCTTTCCAGAAATTCGTCGATCAGCCCATGGTTACTTGATCGACCGGGCGAGGCGATTTCACAGACGGCGAAAAGAGATAAGAATACGGCGGGAAGGAGATACAAGATCTTCAATGGGCAAAT